GGCCCCGCCCTGTGTTTGGCGATACAGTGTGGGACTGAGGTTTGGTTGGGGATAACAGTGTCGTACTAAACATAAGAATTTGTCTGTTGTACCCATACTTTTAGTGATAATGTTGGTTATCTCTATAGGATTGAATTTAATTCTTTTAGTTAAATCCTTTCACTGATGATGCTTATGTTTTCAGGTATTTTGGTTTTTTTTTAACTGTGTTGGCACAATGACAGAGTTTGAAAAGAACCTCCGTCAGGACACGATTTATCAGCTGCATAATTCTGCTGCTATTGGAGATACAGCTGAACTGAAAGCATTGCTTGGTCATTCTCCATCACTTACTAATGTTGCTGCAGAAAACAGTTGGATAGCCCTAAAATATGGTGCCAGAAATGGACACTTTGAGGTTGTATAGATTCTTCTTGAAGAAGGGTAAGCTGTTTTGTAGATCACATCGAAGAGCTCTAACCTAAATCTCTTTCTGCCCATTTCAGCCTGATCTCAGAAAGGTAAATTTACTTGACGGATAGTGGCAGAATGTTCAGGGTTAGGACTCCAGAAAATATACTCCGTGTCTCACAGTAACTGGATTCTACTATTGTATCATGCTTTCCATATATGCCAAGAAACTTCAGAGCATCTCTAAAATTATTTCTTTGGTCTTCAAGTATATACTGACCTGCCTCCCAGCAACTGACAAAACAGTTTGTATCCCATTCCAAACACTGTGCTGAGTTTAAATGTGATATCTTTCATTGTTCCACTTAGACTTCTTCTCTGAACTTCAGCTGTAATCCACTTACATCTGTGTTACAGTGCAGAATGTTTTGCTGGCATACTGACTGTTAAGTAGGACATGACAGACACACCTTTGCTAAAGTTACTTGTTGATGAATTTCATTTGCCTCTTGGTTTTTTTTGGACATTTCACTTCCTCCTTCCTCCTTAACCCATCATGTTATTTTCTTCAGTCAGTGTGACACCAAGCACGTTCAATGCTTGTCAAAAACTTGCCATCATATGTGTTTCTTCAAGTCAACTGTTGTAGTTCTAGCTTTTGACTACACTCAGAAAACCAAAGAATATTTCAGTGGTCTCCTTGAGATCCCAAAGAACATTATTCTGAAGCCTGAGTGAAGTCAGGTTCCACATACAGCAAATGGAAAACATTCCCAAACAAAGGATAAGAGTTGGGTGTTGTGGTTCAGCTGAGCTCTACGTCGATCAAGCCCAGTCTGTTCCTTTCTGCATCCCTAATGACAGAACCAAGCAAGTTTAGTTCATTCTGTGGTTATGAGTAATCTCAGGCACAGAATTCCACAGCCTCCAGTGATCATCCCCACTTTTTTTTTTTTTTTTTTTTTTTTAATTCCATCCTACCCAAATGTACGGCACATCAGATGAACCATTGTTTCATACTGTAGTCGGTCCATTGCATTGTAGAGGGGTATCTCAGTGCCAGATTTTGTGAGTTGAAATAACATGTATATTGAGGAATCTTTTGAGGTTTTAGGGAATTTACTAGTTTGGCAAATAGTTTTTTTAAGTTATGCTTACTGTAACAAAAGACTTTTTAATCTAAGTGTTTAGCTAAAGAGTGCCCCAGTACAGACAGAGTATCTAAAAGCTCTTGCACCTTAATAGTATCAGAAGTATATGCTGTAAGAATAATACAGCATCAGGACTCTTCCTAAACATATTTACCCTGGTAACAATTGCTTTTTTTCTATTTCTCTAAGTGTGGCAGGTCCATTATTAATAAATCTAAGAAAACGGCTCAGACATTGCTAAATTTGGGGGTTACAACCACATAGCTAATTTGTAGGCTATTGTGAAGGGAAGATAGGGACCTAATTTTCTGTCAAATGAAGTGAAAGGAAATAAAAATTATTTTGGCTTGACACTTCTGGACAGAAGGTGTGATAAAAGAAAGGATTCCAAGTAGCTAAGCAAAAAACAAAGACACCCAACTACAGTATACATCCACTTCTCAAATCTAAGTCGTTTGGTTACTTTGTCTGGAGGAACAGAGAGCTCCCAGCAGCCAGAAGTAAAGCTCTGCAGGCTGTACCACAACTATGTGGAGCAGTGCCTGAAGCAAACTGGAGAAAGCACCTTGATTTTTCTTGGGCTTGAATCTGAGTTCTACATGAACCCATTGGCTGCTCACAATGGAGGAGTTCTGCAAGATGATGAAGGGTGCGTGCTAGTTGTTTGGTTTGCTCTTAGTGTAGGTTCTGCTGAGAAATTTAAACAGAGGTAAGAGGACTTACTTTCTTGACCCACCAATGCTGGCACTACTGCAGCTACCTGAAAAAGAAGCTGGTAAGATGCATAAAATGCAGCATTTATCAGACGTGCAATTGGAAGGACATGTTTTGGGATGCACTGAAGTATAATGCAAGGACAAACCACTGCAAAAGAATTGGGTATTTTCAGTGGCGTTAGAAATATTTTAATTTTAAAACCCTGTCTCAGTGGTTTTGTGAAGAATTCTTAGTGCAAGAACATGTGCGGCTGCAAATGGCTAATGTCTAATGGCAAGTATTAGACTGTAAAATTGATTGACCATCATGGGTTTATAAACAGTACTATTTAAATATTAACGTATGCACATTAACAACATAAAAGAAATAAAATTAAAAAAAAAAATCTGTTATTGCTGAGCTTTCATTCTGAGAGATGAAAGTAAGTCCTTAAGAGTATGTTGGATACACATCTGAGAAGTAAACACTGCGAGCAAGTGTTGAAAAATCAGGATCCTGACGTGAATGAATGTCATTGAGGATGTGGCGTTAACAGCTGCTGTTGTAACGATTTTGCTTTTATGAAAGGATAAAGGTCAGGTTTTACTTGTGCCTGACATTTAAATGGAACAGTGTGTTATTATGTCAATATCTGTAGCAGCCCTAAAATAGTAATCTGGAAAAGGTGTTATATGCCTGGCACTTTGCCCAGACTAAATAACTTTTGTGAGAAACAAGGTATAGTGATCTGGATGAATTTGTTTCTGAATGCATAACCTGGTCTGTAGCTACGTATTACTGTGTTCTATTGCATGTGCTGTACTACAGAGAAAAAGACCCAACTCACGCTATTCAGCTTCCCTTGTAGCAGATTACAGCTCAAACCATGGTCTTAATTTGATTTTTGTCTTAAACTTTACTGCTTGTCTTTTCTATACTCTTTAACAGCTTGCATGAATTCATATTTGATTTTGTGTATTTTCAGTGTTTTCTTTTAAAGTAGTAGTATCTCAGGCTAGATCTGTTCTAGCAGAGATGACACAGTCGTTACCTATTCTGCCCAACAGGTGGGAGTGCAACCAAGATTCAGGAAGGGGGTTACAAGAAAACTTGCTTAAAAGAAGGTTGTCGCAGTCTCCAAGGTGCTCACAACACATCATATCCAAGAGCTGGTGAGAATGTTATAGGATAAACTTGGTCAAAACTGGCTTGTTTATACTACTATACACATATAAATCAAATTCCTCAATTATTTCAGCTGCTTGCTTCTCTCCCCAGTCTGTATGTCACAGCTCTATTTAGGATTATGTAGCTCAGTCTTTTCTTTGTTGAAGTAGTCTGTGACAAAGAATTACTGTGACAATACCAATCTTCACTGCAATGGAGCAGTATCAATTAGAAGTTCCAAAAATATGAATGAGATGCTAACAATACAAAGGGTCACATTTTACACCCCTACCCGCCCCCCTGCTCCCACATTTTTTGCTCACCTTCTGCAAGCCGTCTGAGCTTGAAATAGCTGTGTATCAGGTTTGGCCCTGTATCAAACTTCTGATAAAGTGGTCATTTTCTTGTAGTGCCTCTTTGACTGCATTAGCCACCTTCACTCGCTTTCACTATTCAGTGTCAGTTGCAAACTGCCAGGCCTGTGTCTACTGAGAATATAAGTTTGTATAGACAGGCTTCTGCAGCTACTTTTGTTGTTGTGTTCCAAAGGAATTGTACTCTGTTATTGATGGAGAAAAAAGGAAGGAAAAAAGCCCCTTTTTTCTCAGATCACTTGGTGACTCTTTGATCACCTTTCTTTTCCCTATCCTGTCCTCTGTTCTGCAGCTGTAGTTCTGGATGTGGTATTTGTGTTGTATGTCTGAATTTCATGTTCTCTTATGTGCTTTAGAAACATATTTGTAGTAATCAAAACAATTCTGCCATATTCTTCTGTCATTCAGACTATAGTGAAGCTTGCTAAAATACTAATGGCTGTTTCTGTACAATCTCTAGAACAATAAACTTAGAGAAGGAAGGAATTATACAGGAAGCACTGATGAACCAACATTGTCTACTGATGTCTTTCTCAAAACTCAGTTTACAGACAGCAGCACTGTATATTTTACACTATGCCATGTGGCAGATGTCTTTAAGCAGGACACCAATCTTTGAAGTCATTGTTTATAGTAGTTGCTGAATCAAATGTTTTCATACACAGAAAACACCAGTGGTTTGGGGAAAAAAAAAAAAAAAAAAGACATGAAAAGCAATAGCAAGGGAGAAAGTATATGAAAGTAGAGGTGTATAGAAAAAAAGTAAAAAAAAAAAAACAAAACCAAAACATTGAGATGCACAAGAGTTAAATAACAATAAAAAAGGGAAAAATATTGGAGATGAATGCTGTGCAGAATGGCATGACAAAAAGAGTGATACCAATAGAAGAAAATATTAAGCGAGCAAGAAAAAGATACTTAAAATGATCACAAGTGAGAAAGTAGATAAGAATGCAACATCAGATAAGAGATTAGTAGCAAACAGTCAACAAAGTCAAAAGTGGAAAGTTTAGTCAGTATTTAAGTTGTTAGCATCTGGCTCTTCTTTGGTATTTCAGTCATCGGTAACATTCTTCTAGACCTGTGTATGTAGAAGAGGTTGGTTTTGGTGCAGAAATTATTGCTATAAGCTGGATGCATACCTAGGGTAGGATTGCTGATATTCTTAACAGAGTGTGTGGGTTTGGTGCAGGTCGTTTATGTCCTGCATTTCAATTCTTGGCTACTAAACTGCAAGTATGTTGCAAAACAAAATAAACATACCATGCAGGGAAAAAAATAACAAAGTGAAAGAAAATAACAACTTGCTCAGTTCATCTACAATTCAGATTTCGATCACTTAAAGGTAAATTATATTATTTCAATCATAATAAAGGTATATTACTGGTTTTTACATGCATTGGCATTGAATAGGCTGAAAATTATTACCACTTTTAAGTCCCTCAGATGCTGAAATATATTTTTTGTGTTCTTTCAGATCCTTTCAGTCCAAAAGTTCAAAAAGAACTTTCATGTTCTTTTTCAGATCCTGTTCTGATAATGCAAGTCATCCATCGAGACAGGAACCAGTGTCTTTTAGGTGGGCATAAGCTTAGCTGTCTTACTGGCTTTGTAGAACCTGGTGAGTAATTTCATTTTTCCTTACCAAATGTTTTTTCTTTTGTATCAGTATTGTACATTGAAAATAATATAGAAATATATTCAGCGTTATGTCAAATAAATGTTTTTCTTCCTGTTAAATAACAAATACACCTGTTCCATACTTTCTAGTAGCTGATATATAAAAAAAGCAAAAAGCAACTTGATTAAATGTATTTTTAAAATAGTTTTCTCATTTTGCACTCTTAAATCATATATTGAAGTGAAAACAAAAAAAATTTAAACCAGATATAAGTTCCTGTGGTAATACTTTGAAAGGCATTTTAGCATAGGAAGATAAAAGTTAAAGCACAACTTAAAGCTGAGCATATGCTTACATGTTTAGGCCTGACATGGTCTGGAAGATAAGATGAAATTGTTTAATTTTGCAGGAAAAGCAGAGTTATTTTGCTAGCTGTGTTCAGCAATAATAGTTGGAATTAGTTGCAATTACTAGTAGCTGCAGAACAATTGGTAAACCATTCTGTATTCAGAATACATCTTAATCACTGGTGAAATTGTAGTTTGACTATACTCAGTGTGCAGGTGAAATACAGTGACAGCATGAATGGATAAGTTCATGCAAGTATCATTTGAAAAAAGTGAAGATGTTTATTTCTTCACTCCTTTCTTCTCCTGGACTTATAACTTTCTGATACTGAATTCAAATATTTAAGTGGAAATTTAAGTGTAGCTGATCTTATCATCAGCTTCTAATCAGATGAACAGTACTTCTGTTTCTGATGCATGGACTGGCTGCTTTAATAACCTGTAATCAGTGGTTACAGCAGAGTACATGTAAGCATATGTAAGCCTATAACCATCAGCACACCATCTATCTATTCAGCTAGCTAGCTAGCTAGCTATGAGTATGGAAGTAAAGCTTTCCATTGCAGTTTAAGTTTGGAGAACTGTCTGTGTGTGTTAAAACAATGAAGAATGAGTCAGGCAAAGTGACTAATACAAAGCAGAAATGTGTGCAAGTCTTCTTAAATATCTGTTTCCTTACTATTTTAATTTTAAATAATGATTTTCAGGTTGTACTCCATGCTCTTAACAATCATTCTGAAAATCTAAAAATTAACACAATAACCAAACAGATCAGCATTCCAAAAGTAATTAAAGGAACAATGTATTTCCTACATAATGTTTTACTTTTTAGGTGTGGTAATAACAGTTTGCATGTATAATAAGTTATCAATACAGGAAATAAATCATGCTTTATTGTCTAAGTTCCATTTTGGTTTGGTGGATGGTTCTACCTCACTAGACACCTGTATCTTGTGCTTAAGGTCTGTGCCCTGAACTGTCAACTAAATCTCTGTAGATAATTGTTTCAAATCTTTTGAGTCAGTTCAAGGCACAGGCTGCAATCTTTGCTTGGAGTCTTTTCATCAGCTGCTTGTTCTTTGCCCTTTTTTCCATTAGATGAAACAACAGAACATGCTGTATAAGAGAAGCAGAAGAGGAGGCTGGAGTCAGAGTTGGCCATGTTCAGTACGTCTCTTGTCAGCCATGGCCGATGCCTTCCTCCCTAATGATTGGCTGCTTAGGTGTTGCAGTGTCTGCAGAAATTGAAGCTGACAAGAATGAAAGAGAGGATGCCTGCTGGTTCACTAAAGAAGAGGTAAAGTTGAATTTAATTTCATTCCTGTATTGATTGGTATATGACTGCATCAGTTCCGGCATGCAATAGATACCTGCTTTTTTTGGCAAGTTGAATGAGCATCTATAGCTCATACTACAACTGAACTACATTGTAATTATACTTGATATGCAACCAGACAAAGGCACAGTAATTTGAGTCACTTGCAAGCTCCTTTTATGACGTTTTGGCCAGTTAGCTCTTCAGCTTTTCCTTTTTTTTTTCTTTTTGAAAGATTTCCAAGTTACTGTTATTTTAACCCAAATTGCTTAGCAACCCTGTGCTTTTCCTGTACTCATTCTACACGAGTAGAAAAAGGAAAGATTGTTTGCACAACCTAGTCTTTGCAGATTTTTCCACAGGCTACTTATGTGCTAAACTTTTAATGACACTGTACTTCTGCCTAGCACTTGCAAGTGTTTTGACTCTGTAAGTCAACTTGAAGGCAAAGTTAGTAATTTACAGTCTCAATGTATTCCTGACAGCACTGAGAGCATTATTGCAAATGAGTATCAGTTCTGAACACAGCTAGTCACATGCAGGTTTGTCTAGAATTGTCAATAAACATACTTCACAAATGTACTAAACTGAAAGTCTGACTCCCATGTTGCTTATAAGTGCTTCAGAAAACCAACAAAACAAATTTCCTTCTGTACTACATGTGAAAAGAAAAAATCATGCTGGACCCATGTAGAGCACCATCTGGTGGTCCTTACCACAGACAAGCTTCACAAAAACCTTAAATATTTTATTAACACTCAATCTCCACAGTTGCATTAAAAATAAGGTATCCTTTGGGGGCACATTTGAGCTAAAAAATGTCATCATTCTCACAGAATCCTATGTGGGTTTTTTTCTCTGCATCTATCTTGGAGAAAGTGGCAGTGGCTTTTTAATAGCTATGGTAATGATAAACTGATGGATCATCATAGTGAGATAATTCCTGCATTAATCAATGTTACATTCCATGTAGTTTATAGAATCATCTTCTAAAGAAAAATGAAAATCTGTCTTTATTGCAGATTGTGAAAGTTCTCATTAAAGGAAACCTGTGTGCTTTCTTTGTACCACCAAGTCGAGTTATTGCATATCACTTGAGAGAATACTGAACTGGAATGAATGCTAATCTCTCATTTCTATAATTGATTTCTTTAAGTTAAATTACTTCTTCTGATGAATGCTAAGTTAGGAATAAATTAGAAAGAATTGTTTATCTAGTAAACGTGCAACCATGTGAATTTTTGAGCCTTTCCTTTGGTTCCAAAGCTTAATTATGCAAACCTTTGTATAGGTTTATTCAGCTCTGAATTACAACTAGACAACAACTCAGTGATTGTACCAAGAAAGCAAGCAACATATAGGTATAATTGGCACCTTATTGTGCACAGGCTGCTTTTTCATTTTAGAGTTGAATTATTATGCTTTTTGCTGTTATGATCTTAATGTTTGTTTTGGTTTTTCCTATGCCCCACTGGAAGGAGACACAGTGTTACAAAGAGACCTGATCTTGCCTGCTGTTTGAACACTGTATTTACATCCTCCTATTTTGTTTTAATGTTTCTTTCTATCTTTTTTTTTTTCTGTTGTTTTTCCCTTTTGTTTCTATTTTTTCCTATATTCATTCTTTGAATTCTTCCTGGCACAAAACATCAACATTCAGCGATGAAATTCTTACCAACAATGGTTATTTTCAAACTAATAACATACTTAAATGGTGAATATGTAGTACCTTATATCTTCTACATTAATAGCCCTCTAAGCAGAGTATTTACTTCTCCAGTCTGATTTAGCCTGCACTTACCAAATTGTATGTTAACCTGAATTTAAGGATGTGTCATAATACTCAGTTTATGCAAAAGATATTGGAGAACCATCCCCAAAAGCCTGAACATTAGATATTTAAAAATATAATAATGCACTTATTGACCCTAGGCAATGACTTACTTCATCCTCCTAGAAATGGAATGGTAGAGTATTGGAGGAGAAAGGAGATTAATTAAAAAAGACATAATATCTCAAAATATGTATAATGTTCTTTTATGGAAAGTAAAGGAGAACATTAGACAGTATACAAACAGTGGTGGAAGCTAAGCAATGGAAGGAATTTTTAACTGTTAATATGATGGTTACATATTAAGAAAGATGAATAAGGAAGGAAAGAATGAGGAGCAGATAGAAGAGGGAGGATAAAGCAAAGAGGAAATATAGGTAGCATGCATATAGCTAGATAAATAATTTATCATGTGGAGGTAACTAAAAATACATGTGTAAGACCCATACTAATACTTTTTATGTAGGAAATTATGGTGGGTTGCTATTGAGATGGGTTTGTAACTGTGAAACTCAGAAGAAAGTGTCCATAGTCTGATTCTTCATCTCAGTATTGGTTATTTATTTGAGAATCTCTATAAGCAGTATATATCTGCAATTACAATGCTAATAATTAATTAGAAGATCTTCATTTTTCTGCATGAAAAAGCAGAAAAAAGATAGTTTGAAAAATAAAACAGTGATCTGAGTTTGAGAGTAACATTTTAATGATCTTTCAGTTCTAGTAACTTCCAGTGTTCCAACAGTTTTTAATACAAACTTTCTCCAAAGGTAGACCAGCAGTCCTTGTTAAGCTTTTTTTTCTTTCCTCCCTCCCAACAGCTGAATCATTCACAGACAACATGACAAATATCCCTTGTTTAAGATAATGAATTTGATAATTTAAATCTTTTATTGAAAGTGAAACTTTTCCTGGCTTTTTATTGCTTAATTTGACTTGTCTGTAGTTTGTAGGATTAAATTTTAGTTTGAAAATACCTATGCATAGAAATTTCTAGAACGATAGCTATTATTTGCAGATTGCTTATAAAATATCTAGTTGAAGAGCCAAGTACTGCAGTTATTTAGTAGCTACTAAAATTTAGAAAAGTGCCAAATTAAATTTAGCAACAACTGAACAAAAAATGTTGTTGTTCTGACTGGAATAGGGTCAGGACAGCACCTCCATAAGTTTTAAGTTGTTTGCCTTATCCAAAAGACTGGAACTTTGCAAGCAGGCTATTTCTTGCCACTAAGTGAATGCAGTGCATAAAGAAAATGGTGTTCCTTAAACCTTTAAAAATAGGAAGGTTTTGTTCATACTGTGTCATAATGAACTCACTCTCTTTCTTGCTTGCTTATACAAACGTTTCAGAGCAAAAAAACAAAAAGAGTATTCATACGTAGATGTAAGAAGCAGAAAATCATAGAGTTGCCTTTTCTCCCGATTTGCCTGTACACCAGTGAGAATTAATATCTATTCAGTATATCACTTGTAAATTTTCTGTATTTTTATGTGGTTGAAATTATAATGATTTACAAATATTAAATATATCATTTAATAAATTTGAAAAAAATAGCTGAGGTGTTTAAACACAAAACAAAATCAATACTAATAACCAAGCTGTAAGCTCATGTGATGTAATGATATAGTACAATACCGACAGATTTTAACGAACTTTGCAGTGATCCCTGTAAATATGCTTGTGTTATCTTGATTTTTCATACTGGATACGTGTAAACACATGAAAAATAAAGTAATTCTAGTGTTGATACTATAATGTGAACATGATATATTGTGTTTTGTGTAGGAATATTGCCAAGCTGGTAAATTATTATCTTGAATTTGACATGTGAAGGAAGAAGGGGTGGATGTCAACAGGCTGATTAAAGGTAGACCAGTCATGATGCTTCATGGAATTAAATATACTAATCAGATTCTGAGCTTAGGAGACAGGAATAGAAAAAAAAAAGTGGAGCAAGACTATGAACAATGTCACTTCCTCTTTTATCTTTAATTTTAACTAGGTAATCTGATTGATTATGACTTTTCAGACAAAGCTGGCATTTTGTAAAGTCTCAGTAGGCTGAGGGGTTATTTTTCTTATCTGCTTTAGCTGTTAAGAATTAAATAACTAGTTGTCCTTTGTTGCTTCAGTGATTGGAAGGAAAGGTGCATACAGTGCAGCATTGCTGACTGGGGCTGACAGACAGTGGATAAGTCCCAAGGGAAAAAACACAACTTTGAACTTGTTATCCTATTAAGCCTTAACAAGACAGCCAGCCTGTCCTTCATGAGCTTAGAAAGGCAAACTACTCACAGAAAGTCCATAGTAACAAACAGCTGTCTAGAGAAAATGAATATTGGCTCATAGTAACAGTAAGTATAAACTTTTTTTAAAAAAAAATACCTTGTCAGGTAATATTCTGTAGGTTCTAATTATTGTAACTCATAACTTTTATAAAATACAGGATTTCTGCAGGTTTTTTACACAATAGACACAGTTTAAAGAATTTCAATTATAGATCAGATTATAGTTTAGTTTTCTGAATAAATAAAAATTATAGTTTCCTAAATAGAAGGGACTTTTCAGATGGGTTTTTGATTGTGAGTAAATAAGAATGCTGTCCTAAATCACAGGGATTTCTAAGATGTGGGTTTGATTCTTAAGACTTTATCTGTCGTTATAACATATAGGGACTTAACATGTAGTGTATACAATTTTAGAAGCAAAAGCATGTCTGAATCAACTTCAGTCTGCTGTTTGTGTTGTCTTTCTGCATCTAGTACTTCAGATGTGGAATATGATGAATGCTGTCTTAAGATTACAGGATTATTAATCAAGAAGGAATGTTACATCTTGTTGAGTAGAAAAGTTTAAAACACTCAGTTTTTCTCCTACAATTTCATTACCCTGCACACAAAGCTACCTTTGGTAAACTACTTTCTTACTTTTTAAGGAGAGGAACATTCTAGCACTGGAACTTTCTCAGTTCAGCGAAGAAATGTACACTTTTTCTCAATGCACCGGCTAAAACAAAAAAGAGTCTATGAAATAGTAGATGTCCCTTTTTTTTTGGTTTTTTTTTTTTTTTTTGTAATTCTGTACCAAATTAATCCTAATTTATGCAATATAAATTGATCTTCTGAAGAAGGTGACCCTGGAAACTGCACAGTCAGAAAATACGGTATCTAAATTTCCCCATTTGAGATGCTGGAAGTAAAATCTTGGAAGGTAGGATAGGGATTTTACCTCTTATTACATTCTATGAGAAATGGAAGATATTTCTCACTTTGTTGTAATTTATATTTTGTAGACACAAGAGTTCTCAAAATAAAAGCTATGTCATTTTCAAAGAAAATTGTTATGGTGTACCACTGTTGTACAGGTTTCTTTTCGTGAGGTGAGTTCCATCAAAGATTCTGGATTTACATTGTTTCTATTACAATGGATGAACAATTCTGAAGAATAAAAATGTTGAATAATTTGGCTTGATAAAGGACTGTAGTACTTTGACAGTAACAGCTTTGACTATTGAAATTATATTTCATTATTTGAAATGGTCAGGTGTTATAGTGAGATTCCATTTCATTACTGGAAAAATCAGATCAGTAAGTTGAAATATTCATTATATAGTGCTTGGGTTAAAAACGTCGCATAATTTCTGTGTGGACCACTTAGAGCAGAGGCTCCCTGCTGGTTCTCCATTTTGCTGCAGTGGAAAACAGTGCTATCTTTAAATGAGGGTGGAAATGAGGGTAGAAATGAGCAGTGTTGATGCAGAAACGAAACATCTCCAAAACATGACAGAAATGTTTATCCTTATTAACACATTATTATTCTTGTTGTGGCAATGGCTCAATGTAACAAATGAAAAGCAAGACCAGCTTAGAAAGTGGGCCGAGGCTTCATAAGAAAACTAGTTTTATGTAATGTGTTGCAGATTTTAAGAACTGAAGCCCGGTCCTGTGACTTGACTTCTTCCTTAAAAAGGGAGAAATGCTTCTGCGTAAACAGCCCATGATAACTGAACTACATTTTACGATGGATTTGCTGGCACTTGCATGCTCAGTTTTCGATTAAAATAAACTTGAGAACATTTGACTGACTGGTACTTTATTAGCATTTTTTAAAACAGAAGAGCGCCTTACTTGCGGGGAGGTACCTTTAACACAGTGGTGAGAATGGTATACCAAGTCTTCCTTTCAAAAAGAACACGTTGTCAAGTGTCACCTTGTTGAAGAGTCTAAAATAATGCAAAATCTAATTACATGGGTTTTGGATTTCTTGAATTTGCTTATTCATGGCATAAGTGATGTTCTTAGTTGCTT